CCTGCATATTGCATTTCACTTACATATAGTATGTTACCTTTATATAGCATGTTTTCCAACATATTGCTTTTTTCTAAAAATATAGCATTTCACCTACATAAGCATGTCCCCCCTGCTTTTTTTCATGTCCCTTACACTACAAATCCCCCCACAAAAAGCATTTCCCTTTTAAAATAGAAATTTTTTTACATATAGGGTGTCACCTGCAATAATATTTCACCTGCCCTATAACCTTTTCCCCCTCTTTTTGTTTGGGCACCACCCAATATAGCACATTACAAAAATTTTAAAACATGCCACTTACATTTTGCATAAACTTAATAAAGCAAGCCACTAAATAAGCATTTTAAATTTCCCTATAAAACATGCCAAATTACATAGGGCATGTTTCCCAAATTTTTAAAACATGTCTCCTACTTTCAGGGATGCCACCAAATATAGCATGACACCTACAAAGTAGGGATTCCCCTAAATATAGCATGTCACCTACATATAGCATTTCACTTAAAATAAACATGCCAAATTTTAAAAATAGGGAAAAATAAACCCACATATAGATTTTTCACCTTCCTTTTACATGTTTCCTATGTAAAGCCCTGTCACCCTACATTTTATATATCCATGCATGTAGCACATCACTTACCTTTAGCCTGTCACCCTTCCCTATAGCATGTCACCAACATTTTAGTATGTCACCTACATATAGTATGTTTTTCCCCAAAAAATAGAAAGTCACCTACAATTGCATTCACTTACATAAAAGCATATAAATTACATATGCATGAAAGCCTTTAAAATAGTATTTTCACCTACATATAGCATGTTACCAACATATAGCATGTAACCCCCAAAGAGAAAAATCACTTAACCTACAAATCCCTACTTTTAATAAATTAATAGAAGTCACCTACATATACAAAGTCACCCATATGTAGCAAAAACATTACATTTTTAGCATGTTGCCTTCATATAGCAAAGTTACCCACCCTACAGCAAACCCCCTTACAAAATTGCATGTTTTCCTTTCCCTATAGCAAGGTTCCCCTTACACAAATTAAAACACTTCAAATAGCATGTCCCCCTACAAATGTATTTTCACCTAATATAGCTTTTTCACCTACCCTTTTAATGGGCCCTACCCTTTTTGCATATCACTTAAAAAAGCTTTTCACCTACATATAGAAAGTCACCTACATATAGCATGGGCAACTGCATAAAAGAAATTTTACCTACATGTAGCTGGGTTCCCTTTCATAAAGCATAAACCCCTTCATATAGACGTCAAACCTTTCATTTAGCATGTCACCACATACCGGGGTTTTTCCACCCTACAGCACACCACAAACCCAAAAAGTATGTCACCACATATTTGCATGTCACCAAAAAATAGCATGTTACCAACATATTGGGTTTTTTCCCCACATATAACAAACCACTTACATATAGTAAATTTACCGGGATATTGGGATGTCCCCCTACATATAGCATTTTTAACTACACATAGCAAGTCAAATCAAATTTGCATGGTGGGAAAAAATAGTGTCACCTACATATTGCTTACCCCCTTCATTTAGTAAAGTCACCCACATTTATCATGTTAAAAAGCTTTTAGTATGTCAATCCCCAAAAATAGATGTTTCCCCCCTACATGAGCATGTCACCTAAAATAAGATGTTTTACCTACAAATAAATGTTCCTACATATAGCCCCCTTACCTATTATAAACACACCAATTAAAATTAGCATATCACCTCATATTGCATGTTTACCCACATATAGCTTTTCCCCCTACATAGCAAGGATCAAAATTTTTGTATGAACCCCCAAATAGCATTTCCCCCTAAAAAATTGCTTTTCCCCTATATTTAGCAGTTACCTTCAGTAGCTTCCCTTTCATATACAAGTCACCTACATATAGCACGTCAAATTTGTTTTTTTGCATTCACCTACATATAGCATGTTTTTTTCCCCTAATTTCATGTTAAACCCACATTTTCAAAACCAATTTTTTTCGGGATAGTAAAATTTTTCCCCCAAAATATGCCGTTTTTAAACTTAAGATGTTAAAATACATAAAATTATAAAAAGCTTACTTAAATTTGCCCCCTACCCAAAGAGTTTTCCAACAATGCATTTTTACCTTCATATAGCATACCACTTACAAATTTTGTATGCACCCACACATTTTCAAGTTACCCAACATTAGCAAAGGGTTAAAATTTTAAGTGCTGTTTCCCAAAAAATAGCATTTCACCTAAAATATAGAATTTTCACCCCAAAAATTAGCATGTTACTTACTGTAGCATCACTTTTCATATGCATGTCACGTAATTTGCCTTTTTCAAATTTTCGTAAAGCCCCCGTCACCAAATATAGCATTTTACCAAAAATATTGCTTTTTACCTACATATATCATACCCTTTTTTTTATAGTTTGTCACCAACATTAAAAAATGTTTTCCCCCAAATTTTCAGCAAGTTTTAAATTTCATAAAGCATACCAAAATTTCATGTTTTTGTCACCAAAACAAACAAAAATTTCCAAAATATTGCATGTTCCCACATATAGCTTTTAAAACTTTCATATTGTTTTTTCCCCCACTTTTAAAACATGTTACCCAAAAAATAGCATGTTTACCAAATATAGCATGCACCTAATTTAAAAATATTTACTTACATAAAATTAAAAACCCCCCTAAAAATGTAGCATGGTTTAAACCCAAAATAAGCATGTCACTTTCATATAAAGTGTCACTTACATATAACATGTTAAAAAACATTTCACATGTCACCTACAAATATCAAAAATTTCATATATTTTGTTGCCTTTATAAAATTTTTAAACCCTTTTTAGCATATCACCCCCAATTATAGTATATCACCTTTCATATAAGCCCTATCCCCCTGCTATAGCAAATCACTTACATATATTTTTGTTACTTACATATTGCATGTTTCCAAAATTTGCATTGGCTAAAAATAAAATTTGCTTTTCACCTACATTTTGCAAAGTCACCCCTTTTAGCATGTCCCCTTTCACATTAGCCCTGTCACCTACTTTTTGCATTTCTCCTTAAAATATAGCATGTTTTTTACTTTTTGGGTGTTTCCCCCGCATATAAAATGTCACCTTTCATATAACATTCCCCACATATATAAACACCAAAAAATTTTTCCCCATTACTAACATATAGCATGCCACTTACATATAGCATATCACTTACATATAGCATGCCACTTACATATAGCATTTCACTTACATATAGCATGCCACTTACATAGGGCATGTTTCCTATATATAGCATGTCTCCTACGTACAGCATGCCACCTACATATAGCATGTCACCTACATGTAGCATGTCCCCTACATATAGCATGTCACCTACATATAGCATATCACTTACATATAGCATGCCACTTACATATAGTATGTCACCTACATATAGCATGTCACCTACATATAGCATATCACTTACATATAGCATGCCACTTACATATAGTATGGCACCTACATATAGCATGTCTCCTTCATTTAGCAAATCACTTACATATAGTATGCCACTTACATATAAGATGTCACCTATATATAGCATGTCACAGCCACCGAGGAATGAAGGATCTATAGACGGTGGTTGTTCTTCAATAAAACGTGTAAAGCCTAGTTTACCCGCTTCCCTTTGATGGCTGCTATTATTCCCCTACATCAGTGGTTCCCAAGCTGGGGGTAAATTACCCCTGGGGGTAATTTAACCATTTTTGGGGGGTAATGGAGGGGTGACAGAAAAAAGTTATGAATTCTGAAAATCAAGAAAACAATGCGGTACCCGGTATGAGGATTATTGTTACTTTGTCTTAGTATATAAAGTTGTAAAGTAAACCTATTATAAGTAAGTAATAAAGTTAAACCAAATAACAATAAACATCAAAAACTAATATACAGTATTAGAAAAGAAGAAATATATAGCTAAGTGTGTGGAAACCCAAAAGTATTTTTACAAGTATTTCTTCAGGACAAAGTCGCTTGAATGTTGCAAACGATGCCAGGCTGGCACTTTCAACCACGAAGCCAAGAATTCCTAAACTAGCTTCAAGTATGCAACTCCATCCATCCCACTGATGTTCTTGACATCTTTGGTAATAGTCATTAGAGATGCACAATGTTCAAATACAATAAATAAAAGAAAATATCTCAAGTGTTTTAATTTAGCCATATATATCAATAATAACAACATTTTGTGAAAGGGGTAACATGCTTTATGTGGCATGTTAAATTGGGTAACAAGCTGAAAAAGTTTGGGAACCACTGCCCTACCTGAACTTCCTCTTGTTCCTCTTTGTCTTCATACTTTTCTTTCTCCTACCCTTCATCCTCCTCGTTTTATATTCTTGTGCTCTGCTCTACCTCTGCTTGCTGTTTCTTTTGCTGTTTTCTACCTTTGCCTGCAGTTCTTCCTCCATCCTCTACTCTCTGTTGTTCTTCCTCTTCCTCCTCATGCCTTTGCTTCCTGTTTATCATCTTGCTGTTTCTTCTTCCAACTTTTGTTCATTTCCTCTATTGTTCTAGATTTCTGATGCTCCTGCTGTTCGTGTTTTCGCTCTTCCTTCTCTTGTTGGTAAGAGAACTGAGGACTTGAACACTAACAATTAATAATATAAATGCACAATTTTGTCTATCAAAACTTGAGCATGTCAATCATTGTAACACACTTTATCATCTCTAGAAATGAGATGAGGTCAAATTAGTTATATCAGATAAAACAGAGACAATGTTGCTTGTAATTACACGGAGCATAAGTAGTGTAAAGTAGCAGAGTAACTTCATAAACTTCCACTGTTGCTCCATATATTTCATGCCATTCCAAGTACATTGTATATGATATTATTGTCCAAGAGGAACGTTATTTGCTAAATAAAGATATACGGCTAGTTTTTTCTTACACTTTTATTCCTAGGCATATATATATTAATAATATTTGTATTACACAAGAATATAGGTTAGTGTTATTTGTGTTACCCAGGCAGGTGTGTTTTTCAAGCTGCTGCTGGCACCGCGTGTTGATGGTGACTTCCTTCCAGCTGAACCTGAAGTGTTGATGACTCAGGGAAATCACAACAGTGTGGACATCATATTTGGAGTCAATTCTCACGAGGGCGGCTCTCAGGCACTCGGTGAGTCAATTTTATATTTAATAATTATTATTATTATTACTTATCATTTCCTCTCTCAGCCCAAATCGAGGCTAATTGTTGCTCTTGTTGTTGTTGCTGCATCTGTTCTTCCTACTTCTACTCTTTCACAACATACACTTCCTCTTCCATTTTTTTTTTTTCATTCTTTGCTTTATCCTTTTCTTTCTTTCACTCTTCATCCTGATTTCATCCATGTGTACCTACTCTTCCTCTGCCTGCAATTCTTCAAATCATTTTCATCATCTTCCTGCTGTTCCTTCTGCTTTGTCTGAGGTTCATCTTCCTACCTCTTTCTCGGATGTTCTTCCTTCTTCTCTTACTCTGTTTCCTATTCTTCTTCTTGTATTATAGATTTCTCTTGCTCGCTCCTCCTCTTCCTGTTAGCTCTCATGGAAACATTCTTTGGGTCGATGAAACCTGTAAACGATCATGTATGAAGTCTTCAAAGCTATGATTTTATATATAATTAAAAAAAATATATATATAAATATA